TGTACAACGAGAGATGAACACAAATCTTACCCACACCTTCTACGCAGCATACAGTGTTCTGCCCCGGTCGCGATGCCGCTGCCTTTTGCCGCAGCCAAAAGGCTCTGCAACACCGACGGTCTGGTTTGGTCCAAGTACCTATCGTGTGGCCTTGAGATCAGGAGGGACTTCAACAGAATCTGGGACAGGCGAGTGGATTCGGATTATGTAGGTAGAGGCTGTGCTTTAGTGGCGGCGCCCCGCTCGTCGCTCGTGTTGCGCAATTTTTTGTACTAGAAGTAGAGGCGGGACTTGGCCGCCCGGTACTAAGGCACAAATGACAAGGGGCGCAAGAGGCGCACACTTCACCTGCGTTCTGGGCAATACACAGGAGACATAGCATGCACAGCACCCAGCACATCACACACAGAAGGAGGAGTGTGGGACATCGAAGCAAGACGCCGTCGCTGATGTAGCTAGCGGCAGGAAGAGAAGCAGCTTGTTGGCGTGCGTGCTTGCGTGTTGTGTTGATATGCCTACAAAACAGCAATAAGAGTGGACATAAGGGGGCAGTCATTCACAGGACGGACAGATCTAGGTGATATCTCGCTCCCTCCGCATCTACTGCAGCAACCTGCTTGCAAATCGACGTAGTGGACGTCGAGATATAAAGATGTTTCGCGATAGAATGGCCCAGAAGTTCTTCCTTTTTTACTCTTTTNAGGCACCAGTTGTACTTAAAGACTACAGTATTCTGCGCAGGCACCTGCGGTGGTGGACGAAACCTTTGTTTGTCTGTCATGTTGTAGCTGCTGGTTGACTTAAATGAGCTATTAAAGTGCTGCGGCGTTGATTTAGGGTTACGTGTGAATGCTGCTGATGTTGCACTCCAGTTATACTTATGGTTCGAGGATAGGAGGACAGCTGGACGCAAGAAAGAAGTGGCTGCCGCTAATGCACGCGCGAAGTCTCAACCCATAGCGCTGACGGGCGACGACGACGGCAAGACAGAGGCGGAGACGGGGGTGGAAGGAGCGGGGGCGGATGAAGGGGGGGGTAAAGAGGCGGGACCTCTCGGCCACTCGGAAGCGGCATTGAGATACGCCACAGCAAAAGCCCTGGCACGGGTCGAGGCTGCCAGGAATAATAAGGGGGAGGATGCAGACGTGGTGGAGGAGATTGCAGCTGGCATCAAGCCGGAGACAGCTGACGAGGAGGAGGGGAAGGAGCCTGAGGAAACGGCGGGGGACGCAGAAACCGAAGATGACCTAACGCGTCTGTACGGACCCAAACCCGAACACTGGCTGCACCCGGCTTCCCTCGTCTTCGCAATTTTCGGGAGGCCCGCTGGTACCAACGAGGATGTCGATCTGNCGGGAAGGAGCCCGAGGAAACGGCGGGGGACGCAGAAACCGAAGATGACCTAACGCGTCTGTACGGACCCAAATCCGAACACTGGCTGCACCCGGCTTCCCTCGTCTTCGCAATTTTCGGGAGGCCCACTGGTACCAACGAGGATGTCGATCTAAAGCTCAAAATGGCTAGTGGGAGACACAGTGGCACCAAAACGAAGGAAGCGGAGTCGGGATGTGCATCCGGGTCGGGATTTGCGTCCCCGACTCCGGAAAACGAGAGTAAACCTTGCTTGAGCACGAAAGGCCTTAAGTTGATGAACGGGGCCGGGGGTAAGCACAGCCGAGCGGAAATGAAGACGTTGGCACACGAGGTCAACGCAGAGAACAAGAAGCTCAAGGGTGCAGAAGCCGACGCTGTTCTGAAACGCCGTGCCTTGGAGGCCCTGTCCACTCCCCCCGAAGATTCCAAGAGTTCGTTGGAGTTGGTCGAAAGTGTCAAGGCGCTGACGAGGGCTGTCGTGNCAACAAGAAGCTCAAGGATGCAGAAGCCGACGCTGTTCTGAAACGCCGTGCCTTGGAGGCCCTGTCCACTCCCCCCGAAGATTCCAAGAGTTCGTTGGAGTTGGTCGAAAGTGTCAAGGCGCTGACGAGGGCTGTCGTGAGCAAGGAGCTGCTCGACCAAGAGCAAGCCGAGCGTGCGCGTTGGAACGAGAGGGTCCGCGCAATGGAGAGCAAGCTTGCCCTGTGGGGCAATATGGGGAAGGGGTCCACTGCAGAGGCTCAGGCGCTGGAAGAAGAGCTCCTCCACGCGTATGACAACCCCGTCGTCGCCCCCCTGTCTGTGGCAGCTCCAAGCGTGGCCGAAGGCGACGGAGAAGGGGTAGCCGGGGGTGAGGTGGCCGGGACGGAGGGTGGGGAGACATGAATGATGCGGTTGAAGTTTCGGAAGTCAGGATTTAAGGGGATGCACGGCGGTGGTGATTCCCACAAATCTATGGTTGTGTGCGGTTCCATGGTGCAGACTCCAAATGGATTTGGGGGTGACTTCCAACGCCGCTGGAGGGTAACTTGATTGCGGTGCGTAGAGACGGGGGGATGGACCTTTGCTTGTGTGTTCTCGTGTTCCATTTTCAGGGGTGCTTGAGGCTGAGCTACCGCGTGTTTGCAGATTTCAACATGTGCGTATTGGTTCCGAATCATGTAAGAGGGGGTGCATGTTTTCGGAGGTGGGTAACGACCCCGTCCTCTGCTGTTCCCCCGGCAGTGTCGACAATATACGCAGGTCTGGTTCGTGCCAGCCGTCCACGTACTTCTTGTGGGTAGTGTCGTACGTTTTGACGTTGCAATGTCCGATACATTGGCCTGTATGCTTGTGCTCATGCCACTTCAGTACACGTAGTGTAGAAATGTTGATTGACATGCATGAAAACAACCACAAGACCCAAGTCTATCACCCATCTCTCCCTCCACGGCAGTCACATGGGGGTGGTGCACAAAGAAGTGTGGTTGGAATTGAAGCTTATCAAATGTACTCGACGCCGCTACAAAAAAAATACAAAACGCAAGCCCATCACCCGTCTCTCCCTCCAAGGCAGTCACATGGGGGTGGTACACCACGAAGTGTGGTTGAAACTGAAGCTGGTCAAACGTACTCCACACCGCTGAAAAAACATACAAGACGAAAGTCTATCACCCATCTCTCCCTCCAAGGCAGCCACTTGGGGGTGGTGCACCAAGGAGTGTGGTTGGAGCTGAAGCTGGTCATACGTACTCGACACCGCCACAAAAAAAAACACAAGACGCAAGTCCATCACCCGTCTCTCCCTCCAAGGCAGTCACGTGGGGGTGGTGCACCAAGAAGTGTGGTCGGAGCTGAAGCTGATCAATTGTACTCGACACCGCTACAAAAAAAAACACAGGATGCAAGTCTATCACCCATCTCTCCCTCCACGGCAGTCACGTGGGGGTGGTGCACCAAGGAGTGTGGTTGGAACTTAAGCTGATCGAATGTACTCGGCACTAATATGAAAAAAACACAAAACGAAAGTCTATCACCCATCTCTCCCTCCAAGGCAGTCGCATGGGGGTGGTGCACCAAGAAGTGTGGTTGGAACTGAAGCTGGTCAAATGTACTCGACATCGCTACAAAAAAAAACACAAGATGCAAGTCTATCACCCATCTCTCCCTCCACGGCAGTCACATGGGGGTGGTGCACCAAGGAGTGTGGTTGGAACTGAAGCTGATCGAATGTACTCGGCACTGATATGAAAAAGACACAAAACGCAAGTCTATCACCCATCTCTCCCTCCACGGCAGTCACATGGGGGTGGTGCACCAAGGAGTGTGGTTGGAACTGAAGCTGATCGAATGTACTCGGCACTGATATGAAAAAGACACAAAACGCAAGTCTATCACCCATCTCTCCCTCCACGGCAGTCACATGGGGGTGGTGCACCAAGGAGTGTGGTTGGAACTGAAGCTGATCGAATGTACTCGGCACTGATATGAAAAAGACACAAAACGCAAGTCTATCACCCATCTCTCCCTCCAAGGCAGCCACATGGGGGTGCACCAAGAATTTTGGTTGGAATCGAAGCTGGTCAAATGTCCGTGGCACCGATTAATAACAAGGCCATCTGAAATTCGAACGCACAAACGCCACACGCACGGACACGCACAGAGTCCCTCTTGCAGACAAATACAAGAGTACCCCATGTCCGACAGGTGCAAGACAGCACAGCGAAAATATGAAACAACCCACGCGACAACACCATCTTCAAGGCGGGAACGTCTTACTAAACACCGCGTGTAGCAAAAAAAAACAAACGGCTTGCAACAGATACCCGAGGCAGCGGCGTGGTAGCAAAAAGAAGAAGGCTCACGTGGGCCTCGAAAGCCATGTAATGTCGTTGTGTCTCTTCCGGTAAGAAAAGCTCTCGATTAGCTGTTTCTTGAGCTCTCTGTGTGCCGGGTGCTGGTCGATCGTCTCGCTGCTTTCCTCCCCCCCCTCCCCTTCCTCCTTCTCCGAAAGCTTCCCGGTCGATCCGATAGACATGAAGTCTGTCAGTGGGTCATGGTCCCAGGGGTCGTGCAGGCCAGCGCTCCCCACCCAGTCGACATCTTCCTCGAACACGTCCATGCCGTCGAAGGTGTGAAGCATGTTGTGCAGGATGCAGCAGGTGGAGAAGATGTTGTCGATGTCTTCCTTGGAGCGGTACCCGAGGCGGAGCTTGAGGATCCTGAAACGTCCCTTCAGGATACCGAAGAAACACTCACCGTCCTTGCGCACGCTCTCAAGCGTCCTCGAGAAAGCAGTGTCCTCGCTGTTCGCCGGGTACTTGGACGGAGCGATGAGGGTCACCCACTGTTCGGCAGGACAAATAACAGCAGGATTTTAAACAAAAATTCCGGCGGGTAGGGGCTTAGATGTAGGTTATCCGCACTTTGATTGACTACAATACATGAATATCATGCGGGCAACGCATGATCCACACCATAGCTTGGCACTGCGGGCGAGGTCACTATTGGCTGAAAAGACCGCCTGCCTGGTGCGGGATGAATGAGTCGTGCTTCGACCTGTGAACACCAATCTGCTTGTGGCCATCTACGCATCCAAACGATCAAACGTGCCGAATCCGGCGCGGCCGTGTGTACATTACTTGAGCATGCGTCGACAGAAAAATCTGCAGCGTGACTTCATAACTTGCCCGACTTCTACACACACCATCGATGTGTGATGTGTTACGTTGTGGCATCCACGTTGTCCCCATTTCCCGGCATCAAGTAGGCGTAAGCGGAAGGAGATTTTTATGTTTGGTTGGCGCCGGAAACAACGCTGTCTAAGGCCGACAACGACAAAGTGAACTGGGTCTGCCGACGGTTGAACTACAGTAGCCCTGCTCGAGTGTTTCCCGCCAGGGGATAATCCTCTCTCATTCTATTAGGATGGCCAAGTGAATTTACCTCGTGGTACCCGTTGTCAACGATTAAGTAGCACCCCTTGCGCTCCCGAAATGTTCCATCCGCCCCCCGGAGCTTGTACGTGCGCTTCGTGTACTGGGCATCCGTCTTGATGGTGTGGACACCTGCGTCGTAGCGGATGATGGCTTGTCATTATTGCTCCGGTGAAACCGCTGGTTATCGCGATGGCTCGACCCGCGTGGTCGACTGTCACTTGGTAGGCGATGGTCGGGAATCCTTCCTTGCCCGTATAAGAACGGCCAAGGGTGAACGGGCACATGCCCCATCCGATGTGGGTCACGTCGGTAGATCCGATGGCCCCCGTCATCCCCAGCTTGTCGTACATGCACATGACTTCATCCTGGTACGATCCGGTAGGAAGGTATATGTGCTCCTCGAACAGCTCCTGCGCAAAGTGCTTGCAGAACTTGTGGAACGTAGCCGCCGCCATCGGCTTGCTCATCAAAGACAGTTGACAGATGTCGTCGAAGCAGTTGCCCCTGCCTAATGTTTGGAGGGTCGTCAATACTTGTTGCATTTCATTTTGCGCATGGGGTGTGGAAGAGAGGTGGGGTCGGGGGCGTATGCGGACGAAATCGTGAGTCACGGTGCATAGTACTGTGGTTCTCGTTGTTGAAGCAGAGTCAACGCAGCGGTCCATTAGAGCAGGGTCAGCAATACTTTAGTCGACGCTGCGTCGAAGGTAGTGGCGTGTGTACAGAAACAATTACTTGTAGTTGCTGCGTGCAGCAATACCACAACATATGAACAGTCGTGGTGTGCCGCGTAGGTGCCCGCGCGTTTGGAAAGTGTGCAAGCGAAACCAGAGCGTATGCCGATTTTCCCTGGCTGTGGTACGTCTACAGCAGTACTTCCTATGCCAGCGATGCGACGTTCGTGTGACGGTACAAGGCACGTTCCCCATCGATCCATGTTCTGCCACCACAGCAGTACTGCTGTGTACTCTCCGATACCAGCGGGTGAAGTTGTCCACTACAATGCAACGCATCGGCTCAATGCTCGGCACATCGCTGCAGTTCACCAACAACAACAACCTGTTTCTACTCGTGTGTTGCACCATTGACGCATTGAAAGCCAAATAGGGTGACGGTGGGTGAACGTCCAATGAGACAGACAAACGGCGGTTTCGCCACCTGAAGCCAAAGCCAATGTACATCGAACTGGAATATACCAAACGTCACTGGACGTATGTATCTCGCACAAGTATGAAATACACAAGCTGCTGCGTGCATACCATGTATCTCACGGCCATTGGTCAACTTAAGCACTTGAGTAGCAGCAGCTTGACTGCTGTGTATCTGCCTGCTACATGGCGTTCGTGAGCACCTTGCTGTTGACATGCGTGTTGTACTCACATACATCGAGCTCAGTTGGAAAACGCGTGCATTAGGTTTTTGCTGTATAACACGACCCAAACGCACCGGCACATGTTCGGAATACCACTGCTGTTCACCACCTGAACTATCTGTGTTGAACGTACATACGGCGAGCGGTGTAGGTGTATCACACACGGACAACGGGAAGTACGCTGCGTGCCAGAGCCACCTTGCACGGCGGAACTAAATACTGCGATCTGTTAAGCATAAACACAACCGGTGCTTTGTGTATCGTCAAAAAGACCTTGACAACAGGCACCAGAGGGTACGCTGCTGTGTACTATCAGAGCAACCGTGCACGGCTGGACTGAAGAACGAACTACATGTATAAAGGGACCACGAATAGTACAAAAGGTGCAAAGTGTATCGAAGCGACGATGGGTACAAGAGGCGAGCGGTGCTACAGCAGTACAGTCCAGACCGATAGGAGCTCACCTTCAGTTCAATTGGTATCCCCTGACGTCCGACAGCATCCTTTTCTCGCACAGAGAACCACTTCTTCCCCCTCGCCATCTTCACCAGTTCTAGAAAGAAGGCGTGAGGTACCCGGAAGCGAGTGCGGAAGACCTTCGCCGCCTTCTGTGGTGTGGTCCAACAGGTCTGCGTTTTGGAGCTGCAGCCACCACGCCGAGGTACTCCAATCTCTTCGCTCCTTCACTTGCCTCGAACGCTTCACGGGCGGACAATCCTGCTCACCGCTATCCTCCCACTCGAAGGCGTCGTCGAAGGCGCGTAGTGCGACGGCCCACTGGGCTAGCGTGCGATGCGTGCGGCTTCGCTGCTGGACTTGGTGAAGGGCCGAGAGGGCCACCGAGAGCACGGTGGAAGGCAGCAGGTCATCAAAACCCGAAGCCATCGATGGCGCCGTGCAGTCGGGTGGGGCGTGCTGAAGAGGGTGTACGCTAGCAGATGCTGATAGAGCCCAACAGGAGAGGGCGGTGTAGCCGAAGGGCAGCCACATGGGTNATTGGGCTGAGAAAAGGACCCCCCACCCAATAAAAATCCCGAAATAATCACGACGTAAGACTCGGCCTCACAGTTTCCTATTCTCGAACTGGCAGGAGGACGATTTCGCTATTCCGTATCCCCTTGATCGATGTTGCCTTCCCGCGGTAGGAACGCTTTTTTCGAACGCCCACCCAGAGGCTCGTGTTTTTTTCTTGTGATGTAGCTGTAGTTTACTTGTAATGTCTTGTCTTCATTAGTTGTTTGGCAGCGCCCTGCCTACAGGGGCGACAGGGTGAAGTCGTCCTTTTTTTGTCGACCAGACACCGGGTGATGTTGCCGGAGGCAGTAGCTGCCTGCAGCAGCCAGGGTTTCAGAGCAACTGTCATGATAGGGGTTGGAGATGTATCGTTTTGTCATTGTGTTGCATGGTCGGTTATCTGAGGTC